CATGTGGGTAGTACAGTTTTTAAAAAATCATCTTTTTCTGTCCCTTTAATTCTCCTTGCACCATTCAGACTACAAATCAGTCATTATTTGTTTCCTGTCATGGAGCTTTTCTTAAAGATATGTGACATCTTCCAACAAGCAAACTCTAACATTTTTACGTATGTGTCTGAACTTGAATCAGCACCTCATGTTATATAAAAAAGTATATTAAAGCAATACTGACCATGTATCTCACTTTTTATTTTCTGCAGATTGTTCGATTGTTTTTAACAATTTAACTTGATATTCAGTAGAGGTTCTTTCTGGTAGACATGTACCTTATTTAATTCAATTAAATACTGATTAAAAATTAAAGCTCAGTTGAAAGCTGTAATCTTTCAAATAAACCTACACTAAAACCCTTCTCTAACCTTTTATCTACTTTTCTGCAGTTTGGATGTATAAAAGTTTCCTGAACTGCACTAATAATTCTACTGAGTATTTTGCAGCAGTTCAACAGACAAATGTGTAGTGAACCAAATTTGATATGAACATTGTGCTTGCAAAACTGAAAATGTACAAGTTCCAGCAACTAAAAACATGATGGGCAATGATATGCATACTTTGATTATCTCTGAGGTCTGTTAAAGGGACATTCTATGCAACAAAATAACTCTAGCTTAATGAAGCAGTTTTGGTGTATAGATCATGCCCCTGCAGTGTCATTGTTAATTTATCTGCCATTTAAGAAGTAAATCACCTTGTTTATGCAGCCCTAGTTACACCTATCCTGGCTGTGACTCATACAGTCTCCCCACACAACTCCTGAAAGAAAGGCTTAAAATTGTAAATCCAATGCTACTAGTCGGAACTTAAAAATTACTAGCCGCTGGTTCCCCTAAAATTCCCTTTGCTAATGGCTAGTGGTGAGTGCAAATTTTCAGCCCTGCTAAAAGAGTCTGTTTCTTAGCTCCCCTTATTGCACAGTGTGCTTAATTTAGCATTTCATATTTCCCACTCTGTTAATAGCCTTCTAGAGCCTGCAAAAGCCTTGTGTGTGATTAAAGTTTCATTCAAGGAACACACCTTTGATTTTTTTTAATAAACTATGTAGTAGCACATATTTTATCATACATAATTTCTTTAGGGGAATATGAAAAAAAAAAAAAAATAACGTGCAAAAGCTGCTGTCTGCAGCCTTTGCAAGCCCTCTTGTTTATCACAGATACAGACTTTTAGTCTGTGTCAGGGAAATGAACAGTCATAGGTAAAAATATGACAGACTACAGACACATTTCAGCAAGTGTGTCAGTGTTCTTTAAACAGATAATGTAATAAGAAATTCTAAAGTAAACACACTGTGCTGGAAAATAGAAACATGTATTTCATACAGGCTGTGTGAATCACAGCCAGAGAAGGCTGCACAAGCAAAAAGGTGATTTCACTTCTAAATGGTAGAGAATTGAGCAGTGAGACTGCAGCTGGTTCATTAAGCTAAAGTTGTTTTGGTGCATTAAGTATCCATTTAATAGTAGGTGCACTGTGTCCCACTAGTGAAACTTACAATTTGTTTGTTGTGGAGATAGCCTATGAAGCTTAGCTCATCTTGTTTATCATTACAGTCCTTATTTGTTCTTTGGTACCCAACCTGACATGAGTGAATATCTCAGGTGTTTGAGTTTTAAGTTATAAGAGTATTAGGTCTCAATCTAAAGATTAATAACTATTGCTCTAATATGTGACCAATATATTGGTCTTTTTCTGAACTTCCTCAACTATCAGATTATAGGCCTGAAAAGAGTCATGATTTTCTAGAACACAATCCTTACCTGCTGGTGAAATAAAACGTACTAGCTCATAGATAGAGGTCATTCTGCTTTTACTATTTGCACTGATTGACATATACAGCGCTGCCGAATTTGTTTTCACTTTATAAATATTAATAATAATAATACTGTGCACTAGATTAAATAGTCTAATAACCCCTTAAAGACCGAGGACGGTTCAGGACCGTCATCGGCATTTTTGCATTGCTGACCCCTGACGGTCCTGAACCGTCCTAACGGTCAAATGTACTTACCCGATCGCCGTCGTTCCTCTGGTGGTGTTCAGTGGTGCTCCCGGTGTGGGGAGACTGCCTGCAACCCAGACAGTCTCCCCACGGCGGATTAGGATCCCTGTGGCCATGTGATCGCTCAACAGAGCGATCACATGGTCACAATAGGTGTTCTAGTGTCTGCCTGCAGGGGGACTGCCTGTGCTGACAGGCAGTCTCCCTGCTAGTGTAAAATAAAAATAAAAAATACATGTAATGTTAATAATAAAAAAATTATATATGTGTATATAAATATGATATGTAGACATATTATATTTAATATATGTCTATATATCATATATATTATGTCATACTAAGTGTATTTTTATATTAATATGTACATATATTAATAGAAAAATACACTTATAATTAAATTACACACGTATATATATAATATATATAATAACTATATATATTGTATATATATATATATATATATATATATTATAAAATACAAATCATAAGTAATTTAATTTAAAAAATTTAAAAATAATAATAAAAATTTTAAAAAAATATATATCTCTATGAAATGTTATTCTAACTGTATTTTTATATTAATATATATATATATTTATGTCAAAATACACTTAGAATGAAATTGTATATATATATATCTATGCATATATAAATAAATAAAAATAATACGAAATATACATATGTCCATATACAAAATTACATAAGTAATTATATAAATATACATGTAGACTTCAAATATATAAATATGCTTATATATTTAAATTCTATGTGCGTATTTATGTAATATTTTTACATAATTAAGTAATTTTATTGATTGCAATTTGAGGGACCTGCTTGCCAACCCAGGCCAAAAGTCCAGAGAATTTAATTTGCTAGCACTGTATTTTACCCTGTAACGTTCTACGACACCCTAAAACCTGTACATGAGGGGTATTGTTTTACTCGGGAGACTTCGCTGAACACAAATATTAGTGATTCAAAACAGTAAAACATATCACAGCGATGATATTGTCAGTGAAAGTTACTTTCTTTGCATTTTTCACACACAAACAGCACTTTTACTGATGATATAATTGCTGTGATACGTTTTCCAGTTTTGAAACACTAATATTTGTGTTCAGCAAAGTCTCCTGAGTCTAACAGTACCCCCCCCCCATATACAGATTTTATAACGTTTTTGAAAGTTACAGGGTCAAATATATGGGTCAAATATTTTTACATTGAAAATTGCCAGCTTGTTTACGTTGCCTTGAGAGCATATGGTAGCCCAGGAATGAGAATTACCCACATGATGGCATACCATTTGCAAAAGAAGACAACCCAAGGTATTGCAAATGGGGTATGTCCAGGCTTTTTTAGTAACCACTTAGTCACAAACACTGGCCAAAATAAGCATTCAATTTATTTTTTTTACTTTTTTCACACACAAATATGAACGCTAACTTTGGCCAGTGTTTGCGACTAAGTGGCTACTAAAAAAGTCTGGACATACTCCATATTGAATACCCTGGGTTGTCTACTTTAAAAAAAAATATGTACATGTGAGGTGTTATTCAGAGATTTATGACAGATAATAGTGTTACAATGTCACTATTGATAAATTAAAAAAATGTATGTTTTGAAACCGCAATTTCCTACTTGTAATTATAGCCCTATAACGTGCAAAAAAATAGCAAAAAAGCACGTAAACACTGGGTATTTTTAAACTCAGGAGAAAATTTTGAATCTATTTAGCAGTTTTTTTCATTCGCTTTTGTAGATGAGTAAAATATTTTTCCAGTAAAAGTCAAAAAACATGTATTCTTTTTCAATTTTTCATCATATTTTTTCATTTTTTTAAAATTAAATTACATGAGATTATATAAATAATGGTATGTACAGAAAGCACCTTTTGTCCTGAAAAAACCCATATATAATTTGTACAGGAACAGTAAATGAGAGAGCGGAAAATTACAGCTAAACACAAACACCACAAAAGTGCAAAAAGATGCCTGGTCGCAAAAACAGTCCGGACCTTAAGGGGTTAAAGCAAACCTAGTCATTATTTCTGAATAATATTCAATGGTTTTGGTAACCATAGTCTCCAAATAGATCGTTTGCAGATTTGGATAATGAAATGCAGAGAAATGCACCATTTCTACAAGGAAAAAAATTAATAGTAACGTGAATTCACTTAAGAAGATTTCTTCTTGAAATATTATCTCACCAACAACTGCTGAATTAGTTATAGTTGGACATTTTCGAGTTATAGTGTATGATTCACTGAGAAATCCTATTAGTGTGAGCTCAGCCTACTAAAAGGGAAGATTGGTCGAGGTTTCAGAAATAGCTCATGCATAAAGCGACTTAATTACAAGGAGAGACATTTGACTTTTCAACATTATGTCAATGCAACATGTAGAATAATGTCAAACAGCTGCAGTTCAGGTGAACAGTGGCTAACGGCCCCTACTAAACATGGGGACTGCTTCCTCACTTGCTAATTACTATTAAAAAAAGCAAAACTGGGAATCCTGGGTAAAGTGTGAAATTTTAATGTTATCGGGGGAACAATAGTCTCTTAATAAAAACTACACTTTGTCTATGATTTACTCTGATGTACTAACTTGATGTATACTGGCCGCAAATGCTGCAAGATGACAAAGAAAAGTTCACCTACATGCAGTTTCTGTTTAAATATCTGTACAGACTCTGATAAAACCACCTTGATCTATACTTCTACTTACTTCTTTGTACAATGCAATTAAGTTAGTTTGACATGACCTATGTTTCATAAAACCTAATAACAATGTTCTACTCAATGAATTCTTGAATATCACTTAATAACCCTTTAAATACTCTCCCAGCCACATAAATTAAGCTCAAATGTCTATAATTTCCAGGCATTAATGTAGAAAGTAAACCAGGCACTCCAAAGTATTCCAAAAGATAGGCCATTTATTGGACCCAAGAACCAAACCACAACGTTTCGACCCCTTAAGGTCTTTCTCAAAGAACCAAACCACAATGTTTCGACCCCTTAAGATATTTGTCAAAGACCTTAAGGGGTCGAAACGTTGTGGTTTGGTTATTGGGTCCAATAAAACTGCCTATCTTTTGGAATACTTTGGAGTGCCTGGATTACTTTCTACATTTATACTTTGCATTTGGTCCACTGGTACTTGGACTGATCTGGTTAGCACCCAAGGATTCCAGGGTGGAGGGTTTTGAGTGCAGTTCCACTCAAAACTTTGCCTTTGCCTTGGCCTTTCCCTATAAAATTTGGTAGTCTTGGACTTTTGTTTTTCTACATTTTGGGTTTCACATATCCAACCGTTACAGTATATCTTCATGAAATGCATGCATTTGCCACAAGAATTCTCTTAACAGGACTGAAAGGGAGTCTAGTGTAAGGAGGGTGTCTCCAAAAAAACAGATACTTTATAAATCTTTCTTTGCAATGTCTCAGAAGTCTGGATGCATCTGTGGCGGGACCGTTGCCCGTCCGTGAATTGTCTTTATGTGATTGCCTGTGTTTCCCCCACGTATTTGTGAATCTGTGTATGTTTTACCTGCTCCTACGAACGGGTTCAGTTCGTCTCCTGAACAGGGACCACCCCAAAATCCCATTTAGAATGTTTAGTTAGAACGTTCACACCTCGCTAATGACTTGTGAAAACCGCAAACCACAAGGGAAGCTTTGGCACATGCTGACCCTGGGTGGCGACGAGCATTCATGGACTGGAATGTTCGCACCAATCAATTAGAACATTGGCAACTTGCAACATAAGTGCGAAACTGCAAGGGAATTAATTAATGAGTGCTTCCCTGGGTGGCCGCCATTCGTATAGACGAGCGGCAGCCAGGGAGAGCATTTGTGTCCCAAAAGGGGACGCTTCCCTTGCATTGTTTCACCCAGAATCCCTGTGAACGGAAGCTGTTTGTGCCGAGTATCATTCTGGGGGTCCCTGAGATTGGTGGGGACATTCTTTAGGGTCTATGGCAGTTTGGCGGTCTCTCTGTGGCTGGGAGTCACAGAGGTGGGAAGCTTTCCCGCGCTGGGTCTCCCAGGTACAGAGGCTCATGGGATGAAGACCCCTGGTCTCCGAAGGTGGGAAAACCTGAGGAGAGGTGGCGGGAACTGGGGACAAAGTGACTTGAGTTACTGTCACATGCACATGCCCCTGGGAGAGGGAGAACCCTGGGAGGGGGACTGAGTGGTGGGAACAGGTTACAAAGGGATTGAGGTTTTGGTTCCGTTGTGCGACCACCGGGAGGGGGAGGATCCTGGGAGGAGACATTGTCGTTATGTATGATCCACCACTTACATGGGGAAAGTATCAAGCCGAGTGTGGCCAATAAAGTTGTTGTTTTACCCCTGGAACTGTGTGTCGTCCAGTTACTGGGGGAAAATGGGTCTCTTCATTCTGCATTATCTGAGGTAACCAGTCGGGTTACCCTCGGCCGCTACAGCATCCTAATTCAAAAAGCCAAGAGCACAGAAAACCTTTCCAGCTATTGTGTAGACCATGGCTGGACCATTAGGCGTCCATGGGAGCATCTTGGGAAACTTTAAAAACAGATAGAGTGTCAAAGGTTATCTCTCCCTGACCTAACCCATTTCTACTTAAACACATTGCTAACCACTCTGGCTGAAAATAACCCTTCAAACGCCACAATATTACCATTCCAATTTGCTTTTAGAATTTCATCTATTATTTAAAACAGTTTGTGCACTGTAGATGCATTACTTCCCATACATAACATTTCAATGTATTTAATGTCTTCATACTTAGAGGGTTCAAAGTAATGCATTTCAATGTAAATGTTTTTTTCATTCACATTTACAAGACATATTAATGTATATTTTTATATAAGCACTGTATAAATAAATTATTGTGTATTTCAAATATTTGCATTTATGAATTTTATAGTTTAGAACAAAAAAAAAAAATAGAGTTCTTATATCTGTTCTTATATCTGTCCTGTTACAAAATCTGTCCCTTTGGTATAGGTAATTATTTAATTGGGCAAATCCTGTGGATCTGTTGCCCTGATAAGTGTCCTGATATTTTATCTTGCCTTATGTATGTTCCGATAAAGGCATGTAGTGAGGCACAAATTGACGGAGTTCTGTATCTTGAAAACTGGTTCAAAATAAGACTAGAATGTGCCAGGACAGTATTCCCCGTAACAATCTTCTTTAGCTGTTTGCTGGTTGAGCCCATATAATTCAAGGGCCACTTGAAATTTGTTGGCGCACCAATTGGCACATCCAGTAAATATAGTAGTGTCACGGTTGCCATTACCCACAAAGTGAGGTTGCAAAAAGCTGTATCACCGGGCCTTGGAGTGGCTGAATTTAAAGTATTACAAGAAAGAATCAAAGTCAGGAATAGCAGAGGTGAGGAACACAAATACGGATTCTGTTTCTGATTTGTTACTGTGTAGTTGTGATTCTCCACATTTTGTTGCTATGACAGTATGTTTAAGATCTGGGCTCCGACACATGATTGTGAACTTAACCTCACTTTTTTTTTTTTTACAAGAAGGATACGCAACTATGTTTTGTTTTCATCTGTTCAAAAACTGTTGACCTTATTCATCCATGCAAACAAGATGGCCACCACCTCATGGTCGTCTTTAGGAATTGCGGCCACCCCGGCGAACAGTTAGACCACAGAGGTGGAAATTGCAATCCTGTATCAATTAAGCTTAATAAGCTCCATGGTGGCCTCCGGTTCATGCGGCTGTTTGGTAAACGATCAATATAGCCCCACTTGCACGAACAGAGCCTGTTATAAGTCCAAGAGGCACAATTGGTGTTTTAACACAGGGGCTATAGTCACAGGCTGGGAAATAGGCCCCTCCAAAAGTCAGCAGTGAAGTTCAGTTCGTCACAGCGCATCCAACACATTTCGTTTTAACTTCTGCAAGTTATCGATATGATTGGCTAAATGATTTTAAACTGTGAAAACCGGGATTTCACATACTCTCAGGCACCACTTTCCCAACCTGCCCCATAAAATGCAGAATTTACAGGTAAACCTACTACCAGATTGATATTGTTTTGTAACATAAATTAAAGCAGAATTGTTATAATTAGGAATAGATAGGAACTCCAGTTGCCAATTTCTAGGAAACATTGATGAATAAATGTCTGATTGATATATTTTATGAACAACACTGTATTTTTGCTTTCAGGGGAAAGTATTCTCCAATGAATTTATTATCTGCTTTGCTGGTATGATGCTTGCTAGAGCTGTACAAAAAGATCCTGTATATCCTCACTGAAACATTTAAACCCGCTTTGTCTAGTTCTGTTAACCCTCTGCATTCCATGGTCTTAATGACCACAAGGAAAATAACTTGATAAACTGTCTTCAGTCCATACCCTTATTAACAAACTAGAAGCATGAGGTTAATAAAGCAAGGTCATTCTAATTTCCAATCCAGCATCAAGCCGTACAGAAAGAGAAAGGAGAGGGTACAAACAAAAATAAAAAAATAACAAATTAGAGCTTTAAGCTTTATTAGACTTCAATAATGGGAAAACAACAACAAAAAACAAGTAAACAATAAGTAAAACAGTGCATATCAAAATTCTCACTTGGATGGAGTAATTAAATGTTGTAGCCAAATGTAACTAAATAACCTAAATAAGTTGACCCTTGCAATAAATTGTATCACACAATTCATTAAGTATCAGCTGGTGAGAGTGCTAGGACACAATAATGTATCAAATTCCACAAGATGTGGTTCAACCATAGCTTAAAGGAATACTATAGGGTGATGAATACAAGCATGGCCCCCCTTGGCCACTTAAATAGGTATAAAATGTCTCTGCCGACTTATTGATCTCAGCCAATCTAGTGATTTCCCATAGTAAAGCATTTTGTGGCTAACGCGCATGCTCAGCAAATGTTGCCCTACACCAATCAGCATCTCCTCATAGAGATGCATTAACTAAAAACATATCTATAAGGAAAGTTCAGCTCCTCCATGCAGAGTGTGGAGATGCTGAACAAAAATGATGCATGTTGTGCAGCACTGCTCCAGGAAGCACCTCTAGTGGCCATCTATTGGCCATCTAGTGGCCACCTGAATGTCCCTAGGCAGTAATGTAAACACTGCCTATTCACTGGTCTCTTTTCATTATCTTATGTCCATTGTCTGTCTGGTCCTAAAATGTTCTGGAAGATGTGTACCTAGGTTATTTAGCCAAATGGATAGAATTGTCTGTCTCTAAACCCCCCCATTGTGTCTCTCTGGCTCTCCACCACCACATCACTTTGTGTCTCTCATTCCCATACCATCTTATGTATCGCTCTTAAAATCCCACTTACAATTGTGTGTCTCTCCTTACACCACCTTACCACCTCGTATGTCTCTTCTAACCCATTTTACCCCTTTTGTCTCTCATAACCCAGCCTTAGCACCGTATATGTCTCTCTTAACAGTCATTACTGTCTTATGTACTGAGAGACTTACACCTTGTGTGCCTCTCATAGCCCTAACTTTCCACATTGGATGAAACAAGAGCCCATTTGGGTGTCTTTTACCCCTTATGTCTCTGTGACACTCCTAAATGTCCCTGAACCCTTCATGTGTCTCTCATAACTCCCTTGTGTATCTCCTCCAAAACCCCCTTCGGTGTCCTTGTGCCTCTGTTAATGCCTTTTCCACACCTACCAATATTGCAGCACAGCTAAGTAGGACCATGGCTAAGGCTCTGCTTGTTCCTCTGTCGGGTCAGGGAGCACCAAGTGCTGTGCAGAGTCAATATATGACATTTAATATCCCTGTCTACTCCACTCACTCTGTAAACACTGCTCCAATAACAGACCAGGGAGAGGACCCGCAACCAAGGAACCACAGCAAAGGAACCGCAGAAATCGTGCTTCTGCTGTGGTCCCGCTTGGCCATGTTACAATGGGTTTCAGTGTGGTGGGGATGGTATGTGCATCTCCTTCCCAGCTGTCTCCTGGGTGGACCACTCTCTGTTTCTTCTTCCCCTCTTGGAATATCACTGGGTTCTAAAACATCTTGCATTCTTGGTATACTGAGTTTATACATGTCTATGC